GCCTATAGTCCCAGCTACTTGGGAGGGTGAGGCAAGAGAATTGCTTTAGCCCAAGAGTTTGAGGTTGCTATGAGCTGTGACACCATGGCATTCTACTCAGGGCCACATAATGAGACTCTGTCTCAAAAAAAATAAAATGCATATTCAGTAGTACTGGGGTGACATGTTCTGCATGTGTCTAGAAAAGTGGTTCTCAACCATCCTAATGCCATGACCCTTTAATACAGTTCCTGTGGGATTGTTTCTTTTTTTAGTTTCTGCTTTGTGGATCTGTCCAGTTCTGTGAGTGGGGTGTGAAAGTCCCTGATATTATGGTGTTGTTATCATATTGTTCAGAACAAGTACGGTTTGCTTTATAAATCTGGTAGAGTTAAAGTTTGGTGCATAAATATCTAGATTCCAATGTCTTATTGTATTGTTCCCTTAACTAGTATATAGCGTCCATCTTTGTCTTTCTTAACTTTTGTTGCTCTAAAGTCAACTATAACTGCAAAACGGATTCTGATTCCTGCCTTCTTTTGGTTTCCATTTGCCTAAAATGTTTTCCAACCCTTCACCATGATTCTTGATTTTTTCCTTGAGGATCAGGTGTGTTTCCTGAAAACAGCGTATCCTTGGCTTATACTTTTATCCAATCAGCTAGCCTGTGTCTCTTCAGTGGGGAATTCAAGCCATTCACATGTATTGAAAGAACTGATAAGTAGGGGGGAGGTCTGTTCCCATTGTGGGTCACTATGGGCCATTATGAAAGCTAAGCTTTGTCCTTTAGTTTCAGGGTGTCTTTACTTTGCTGGCTGGAGATCCACTGTGTTGGTCTGCATATATTACTGGTCTGAGTATTTCCTTTACAGCTGGTCTTGGAGTGGCAAATTTCTTCAATGTTTGCTTGTCAGTAAAAGATTTGATTTTCCATCAAATGTGAAACTGAAGTTTTGCAGGATATAGAATCTTTGGCTGACAGCTGCTTTGTTCAAGAAAATTGAAGACAGGAGCTTACTCTCTTTCGACTTGTAAAATTTTAGCTGAGAAGTCACCTGTCACCCTGATGGGTTTGCTCTTGTTAATCAGTATGGCTTACACCTGGCTGTTTGCAGAATTTTTCTCTTTCCTTTTGACTTTGACCAGGTTAATTACAATATGTCTTGGAGATGCTCTGTTTAAATGAAGTCAACCCAGGGTTTGATATCTAATAGGTTTTATCTTTGGTGATGCTTGGGAAATTTTCAGTTATAATATCAACTAGGGCTTCCATGCCATTGGGACACACTTCTTCTCCTTTAGGGATGGACACCTATACTTCATATGTTTGTACACTTCGTCTAGTTCTATACTCTCTAAGAGACTATTCTACTTTTACTCTTCTTTTCTGCCTCTTTATTTATCTTTTGAGACAAGAATCTCATTTTGTCACAGCTCACAGCAACCTCAAACTCTTAG